GCTTCGAATAATCGCTCGGTAAGAGCAACGCCTGCAAATAATGACTTTGGAGAGGGTTCTTTCCAAGTCCCTTTGAAATATGGTCAAAAGGTTAATGATTTAGAGGCGCGATTCCTTCTTGTCCCTCACGGATGCTTTTCTGCATCCCAGTGCCCTTCCTCCAGCCCCAGGCCGCGCTGGGGCTAGGCCGCCCGCGGCAGGAAGACCGCGGCGCGCTTAGAGGGGCTGCTTTTGTTCCGATCGCTGGAGTGTCACTGGATAATATCTCTGTGTCCCTCCAGTCCCCACACTCATTCATCACGGCCTGAGTGACATCTGGAGTCCATGTGACTCAGACTCAGCCCGAATACCCTGGTGGCTTCTGGGCCAGAGGCCTCTGAAGGACTCTACGGCAGGAACTGCATTTGCCACCAGGAAATTCTGAAGTGATGGTTTTTCTGAGTCTGAGAGGTAGTAGCGTCTTGGTTGCTTGGAGACCTCACAGCACCTCTGGATCTGAAACAGGCATTATCGTCCCTGGTCCAGAGGGTCCAACCTATACCTGTGGCTTCCCGCTTCCCGGGACGAGGCATCTAAACAGCTTGTTTGTATGAATCAGGGCCCCCACAACGCGGCACCAAATCGCTAGTCTCTCCTGAATCTGTCAGTAAAATAGACTTTTAAGATAAACTGGTGCGAAGTGACAATGTTCCCCTGCATTTGAGTTTCAGGGTTAGCTCAAATACCCGATAAAGACGCATCCAAACGTGCGCCTGCGAATTTCAGGGTAAGAAACGCGTTGCCGTGTCATGTCAGTCACACTAAGTTTTTGCTCTGAAATATTGAAGTCGTTCAATAATGTTATGAAATATTCAAATCAACCCCGGGCGGGCTCTGCCTCTTGAACGGCGCGGCTCACTTCAGGCTGGGGGCGAAGGGCGCAGTGGCACCGCGGTGGGGACGGGGTGCGGGTCTCCCCACCTACGAGAGGATTGTTCGCGTGATGCCAGTGTTGTCCGGGCGTCGTAATGACCTCCCCTTTCCCACGTGACTGTGCTTGGCCTCAGATCTGCTCATGTGTGTGGTTACCCGAGCGCCCGGGGGCCCCTGTTTGGTCCAGGGGCAGCCTGGACGGGCACCTGCTCAGCCGTGTGGAGGCGGCCCGGAGCTTTAGAATAAACATGCCTGTGACCCTGTCGCTGCCGTCCTGCAGGGAGGGCGGCCTCTAGGAGGGCCGCTGTGTCCTGTGGCTGCGATTTCTTTATCATTATCCCCCGAGAGGCGGCCTGGGCCCTGCTTCCCGTACAAGAAGGTTCAGGCGCTGCTTGCCTCACCCAGAGCCACGGGGGTGGGGGGGGGGGGGAGCAGACGGAGAATACCAGTGCCTTGCGGAGTGAGCACATCTGCCCAGCTGCTGTGCTGTGCGCAATTTTAGCTCTGAGCCTCGTCTTTCTTCTCTGACTGCTTATTCCCAGGAGGGGGAGGCTTCCGGGGAGACTCACGCCTTTCGTGCGCGGGTCTTTCATCTATTTACTTCTTTACTCTGTCTCTTGTTCCTCACCGAGGGGGACACACAAAACCAAAATACCCTCTCCTGTGGGGGGCGGGGGGGGGGGAGGCCCGGGGCGGAAGCGAGAAGCCCCATCTGGGGGCGGGGAGCAGGTCCTCGCAGAGGGCTTGCGAAACGCCTTTTGTGCCAACACGGAGCTTCCCGGCTCTGGCCTCATTAGCCTGTTTCTTTCCCAGCCGCCAGCAGTGCTCCTCACTACGCGGATGGGCCTGATTTAAGCAAAAGCTCAAAGTCTCGGCCACGATACTAAGAAATGGATACTCCGTGGCCACTGGAGTAAGTTCAAAGGCGCACTTAGCTACTCAAGGGCACCCTGGCTGGAAGGAGCGGCCTTTCGTGTAGCTACAGAAAGGAAAGGGCCTCGCTCCATCTCTAAGGAGAGGAGGAATTTGGGGAAGGGAAGGGAAGCCCACACTCTCCTCAGGCAGCCAACATAATCTATGCAAATCCATGCACCGAGCAGGGGCTGTGCTGGGCACCCCCCCTGTGCGCCTCTACTACACCCATCCGGAGAGGCAGTGCCCCCTAACGCAAGTAGTAAACAGCGAGCGGAAGTCTTTAGTATCTGGCGAGGCATGCAGATGGCAGGACTTCCATTTCTCCTCTGAGCTGCTAGTACGTTTGCTAATCATTGTTGCAAAAAAAAGGGCAAAGATAAACATGAACTTTTCTCTGGAAAGTAACATTCAACAGGATAGGCATGCCACAGACAGCACAGCGTGATGGTGAGCGGCCCTGGCCTCCGCAGAGCGAGGCGATGTTACTTTGTGCTCCGTCTGTAGCGTAAGCTGAGGAGGGTGAAAGCATGTTCATTACATACACTGCTCCCCGGCGGCCCAGGTGGGGGACGGGTGGCATTTTTCAATCAGGATCCCAGCACTATAAGCCTGACAGTCCCCCCCTGGCGAACGGACAGGTAACCCCCCCCCCCCCCAAATCTAGGTCCACGGGAGAACGTGCAGGCAGGTGCCCGACCTCCCCCTCTGCTAGTCTGGGCTGAAGGCTGGTGGCAGGATGGCATGTGTTCCGGTCAAGGCAGGGCCAACCCCAAGTTCCTTCCCTCGGTCCAGGTCCCCTCCGGAGGCTTCCGCAGAATTTCAGCGCCGAAGCAGACAAGGTCAAATGAAACTGCTTCGCCGCTGCTTCTGGCTCAGGGGCCTGACCGGCTCCCAGCCCCCAGGCACAGAGGCTCAGACCTGCAGCAGGAGAGGGTCGGCCTGAGCCTGCTCTGTGCGCCGGCCAAAGGCACCCATTTTCTCCCTGTTTACTCCAGCCTGCCTCCTGGCCCCCGAAGCTGCTAGCTCCATCTCCCTGGGGCACGTTTTTGGGGAGTACCACGCCGAGGTCACAGGGACAGGCTCTTTCTCTGAGAGATGTGGACGCTCGGCATGAACCAGCAAGACGCAGACTCTAGCTCTTGACTTTGGACTCCCGGCAGTGCCCCGGCCCCGGCTGGCCGAGGATGCCCTCCTCCCTCCGCCCTCGCCTGCAAGCCCAGGCTGGGGCTGCCGCACTGGTTCATGTCCTGCCCCTGTGAGGATGCCAGGCGCCGACCCCAGCCCGCAGCCCCGGGAAGGTGCCAACCCCAGCCAGCCCTGGCGCCCAGGAAGGAGACAGGCGTTTCACGTGGGCATCTGCCTTTACTCCTGCTAGTACCTCCCCTCCGTGGCCAGTCCCAGGGCCCCCCTGCTCGGACTGATCCCCCCTAAGTTAATCAGCCTTACTCTCCAGCTCGCTTTAGTTTGGAGAATACTTAAAAACTGGACAGTCAGGGACCCTGCCGCCCCCATCCCTCCAGTGATGCCAGGCTAGGGCTACTGGGCGCTCAAGGCTGTGGCGTTTGTCTGGAACCCACCTCGCAGCCATGCAGCCCGCGCCTCCCTGGCAGTCAGCAAAGTTGCAGGACGCCCCCCAGTTCTCCAGCCACACCAGATGCGGTTGCATAACCTCGCCCCCCGCCCCCCCTTGCACTGCCTGGACCTAGTCAGCTGCGATGCCCAGGAGCGTCCTGGCCCCAGGAGCGCCGAGTCCTCAGCGAAGCCCTTTTGGGGGCCAGTGCAAGCGCCTTAGCGGGGGTCCTAGCCCATCCAGGCGGCGCTGCCCATGGCCAAGTGCAGGGAGCACCCGGGCGCGGGAAGGGGCGCGCAGGGCTCCGCTTACCTTCCGCTGCTTACAGATAAGTCGAGGTCGGTGCAGCTCCCGGCTCGGGCATGTCTCGCCGCGGACCCGGGCGAGCCTGGCGCGGCGCGAGCACTCCGGGTAGGCCTTTCGGTGGGGAGCTCGT